CCAGGCGCGTCGCAGCGTAACAGTGTTTCGTGAGGTATCGCGAAGCCTGTTACGCGAGACGTGGTCTGGCGTACATCTACCTTGTAAATACGCCTCCCGGTCCCGGAGCCGGTGTCGCAGTGGAATAGTACCCCGTACCCCCCCGGTACAAATCAACTAAGGCATTAGTACCCCCCGGTATAAACCCCCTAGGACATTTATACCCCCCCACAAGACCCCTAGGGTACAAATGCCCCAGGGGATTTATACCGGGGGGTATAAATCAGTCAGTGATTTTATACCCCCTATACCAGGAGGGGGGTATGAATCCGTCAGGTGTTTTATACCCCCCTATGCCGAAGGGGGGTATAATATTGACGGGTCAGGGGATTTATACCGGGGGTATAAATCAGTCAGGGGTTTTATACCCCCCTATACCAGGAGGGGGTATAAATCCGTCAGGTGTTTTATACCCCCCTATGCCGGTGATGGGGGGTATAAAATTGTCAGGTCAGGGGATTTATACCGGGGGGGTATAAATCAGTCAGTGGTTTTATACCCCCCTATACCAGGAGGGGGTATAAATCCGTCAGGTGTATTTGTTAAATTTCGATTGATCTAAGGAATTCGCCGTTAATGCAAACTTCTATTTGGGAAAGAGAAGACTTCGGCTTTGAAGGAGAAGGACGCTGAACAATTCTCAGCAACATTCAAATGGAATAAAAATTGGACAAAAATATTTGACTGTGGTGAGATGGCACAAGTCTGCGACTCGCCCCAGCCCCAAAATCGGGGCGAGTTAGCCTTGGGGCGACTTGTACCATGGGGCGACTTGGATGGGGCGAGTTGTCCGTCTCCCCTGATATCAAACCGCCGATGTATGACATACCCTCCCCGATCCACTCGCATCCCTCCCAACGACCCTCTCCCCCACCCCCTCCCCCGATTTTTGATAGCAGCTGGCGCTGGCCCTGGCCGGGTCGGCCATACTTCTCGACGCCCACCTCTCCTCCCACAGGGGCGGATCCAGGGGAACGTGTTCAGACCCGTCGCAGGGGCGGGTCCAGGTTGACGTATTCATGCCTGGTCCAGGGGCGGATCCAGATTGACGAGTTGAGACCCGTTGCAGGGGTGGACCCAGGTTGACGTGTTCACACCCGTCGCAGGGGCGGGTCCAGGCTGACGTGTCGAGACACGTCGCACCCATAACTTGTACGAACGTGTACCCCCATCCTCGATAGGTTAAGTTAGCCACCATCACTTACGCCCCTCGGTGCAATCCTCGATAGGTTAAGTTAGCCCCCCATGACTTATCCCCTCCACCAATCCTCGATAGGTTATGTTAGGGGTTGATAAGACCACCCCTCGCGCGATCCTCGATAGGCCCCGTCACTTACGCACCTCGACCAATCCTCGATAGGTTGTGTTAGGGGTTGATAAGATCTAGGTTAGGTTGAGTTAAGGGATAAAATAGGGGTTCGGTTGTGTTAGAGGCTCAAAAGACCCACCCCTTCGTTTGGTTAGGTTGTGTTAGGGCTTGATAAGATCGGGGTTTGGTTACAGGCAGAATGGGATCCAAAATGGCCGACCGGCAGAATGGGCCCCTCTTACTGGGGGGGGGGGTCTAAAACACCTGACGGATTTATACCCCCTCCTGGTATAGGGGGGTATAAAACCACTGACTGATTTATACCCCCCCGGTATAAATCCCCTGACCTGACAATTTTATACCCCCCATCACCGGCATAGGGGGGTATAAAACTCCTGACGGATTTAAACCCCCTCCTGGTATAGGGGGGTATAAAACCACTGACTGATTTATACCCCCCGGTATAAATCCCCTAGGTGAACTGTACCCCCGTTAGCCCAGGGGGGGTACAAATTTTTTCGGTGATTTATACCCCCCGGTATAAATCCCCTGGAACATTTGTACCCTTGGGGGTGGAGGGGGTGGGGGTATAAATGTCCCAGGGGATTTATACCGGGAGGTACTAATGCCCCCGGGGTTTTACACCGGGGGGTATAGGGGTATAAATCCCCTCCTGCACCGGCCCAGCCCCCATAGTACGCCTGCTAAGCCGACCAACCTTGCATTTCGATGTAGAGCAAAACCGTCTTAGGGGTAGTCAGTAGGTACCTAGAGGTCACTTTTAAGAAGTGTTGCCCAACTCTACCCCGTGACTAGAACCGGAAAACGGGGGGTTGCCTACCTAACAGGGGCAAATCTCCACCCGGGTGGAAGGAAGTGCAATCAAAGTATAGTTGAAACTATACCGCCCAAACTACAGTTGCAAGACTACAGTCACAACTGTAGTTTAACTGTAGCCTTGCGTGTAAAGTAAGATTCAACTTAACTTACAGCTCTAACTGTATCCGAAAAAGTAGTCAAACAACATTTGAACTGCTGTTGTACTAACAGTCGATATACACTCTACCATTGGAGTAAAGGCTACAGAGTCGATTATAATTTAACCGAGGTTAAACCGCAGTGGTCAAATGTTATTTACACAGTATTTGTTTTTGTAGTGAGGCACAATACTTTGAGTGTAAAGTGGACCGCACTTCGGCTATGTTTTTTATGCTCAAGTAGTCCTTGTATCTAGTGTTACCATAGCGCTAGCGCCTTACGGACGGAAGGAGTAGGCCAACCCGCCGTCCGGAGATGGCGGCCCGCCTGCAAGCTTGGTGATAGGCAACAAAATCACACGGTCGTGTAGTGCGTTGCCTATGCACCAGGCGCCTAGTGCCGAGGCCGCCGAGGCAGAGAGCGCGAGACGAGTGCATCTGCATCACGAGTGCAGTGCAACTGCAACGTGAGAGCGAAACGAGTGCGTGTGGTGAGTGCGCGGCGACACGCGCGACCTGGTGAACGAGAGCATGTACGCCAAGCCAACCGACCGCATTCAAACGAAAGATGCTACCGCGGCCGCTTCGTCTGCGCAGGTGAGAGTCACGTGACGTCAGTTTTGCCGATGAGCCATTGTTTTGACGCTTCTAGCAGACGACTGCGACGACTAGCCTGACGCTTGGCTAAAGCAACCGTGCTTTGACTAAAGCAGAAACTTTCGTTTTACTCCTTAACAACACGCCAACTTATGAGTGGTACAGTAAGATTTGCTCTCTTTTTGTCGTCGTTACTTTCCGACGGCACGGAAGTTCATTTTGTTATTGAACTCTGGTCATCCTCCACTCTGGGGCTGTTGTTTGGGAAACTTTAACCTTTGACAAATTCGACTCTTGTTCTAAAAATGCCGAACTTATTTTTTTGAAATACTGACAAAATCTGCTCTAAACCATTAAAAAGAAAGGCTACTATCTTTCGAACCATGTTTTTGACACTGTGGCCTTTGGCATGGCATTTGTTTGGTCTGGAACCATCATTTTTAGTATGTGCTGTGTTTTCAGGTGATCATGCTTGGCCTAAGAAGTTTTGGATTAACACTTGACCCTCGAGCCACATCAAGCTTGTGCCAGGACACTTCTCCGCCCCATTAGGCTATGGGGGAAAGCCATCAAATCCAGGAATTGCGGTGAATTGATGGTGCTGTGAGCTGCTGCTCTTTCGCTGGGAGGTTAGTTTCAACTCATTTTTGCTGTTAATTCTTTTTAAAATATTGTAACCAACGCACTGAGTTTAAATTAACCCCTCTCTTGTTTCAGGCATTTATAGTGCAACCACTAGCTCCATGGCATTGACTATGCTACCGTTGGTTAAAGCAGAAAACGTCTATCAGCATATTAAAATCGAGGTTGGCTAAAGAAGAATTCCATTCTTGTCTTCCACTAAATGGTGTTATCTGTGTTAATAATGGTGCCATCTGAATAATGCATTGTAAGTTAAATGGAAGTAAATTTTCTATTGAGTAACTTTTTCTTTCTGGTTTTTACATAAATGAACATATGTTCAGAACGTCCCATTGTTTAGGGGTAAAGATCTCTCAGTAAACTTTTCCTTTAGCCCAATTAGTAGCTTAGGAGCAGGGTGATAATATTTGGTTACTACTAGGTAGTCAGCAATCAAATCATTTACACTCAACTTGATTGTTTGGAAAAGTTTAGATCAACCCGTTAAAGATCAATTCCTACAACTATAATACTACTTCAGTGGTTGATTAAAAATGAAACCAAAAAGAGAAATAACAAAATAGACAACAAAATCATTGTTCTGCATATAGGTAGATATGCCATGATTTCATCCTTTACTTTGTAGAGAAAGTTGAGGCAAATAATATCAGTCATTATAATAATCTAACAGTTTTAAAAAGTTTTAATAATAGTTTCAAAGTGTTGTTAAATTGTAGTTTTTTTCACAGTAATAAAGTTATACTAAAATTCTAGTAAGTCTATTATAGAATTATACAATCTAAATATATTAAGTAAACTTGGCACACAGTAAAGGCAGTAAAAATACTTGATTAATACAAGACAAGAAAACATTCTCCTTTACCTGAGCATTTCGTTCTCCAAAACATTAATGCATGCCACACGTATTGTGCCACATGACGAGTCAAGAACAAAGGAAAGTAATTTAAATTGAATACTTGAAACTGGAAAACATTTTTTCATACGATGTGGTTCATCTTTCAAAACTATGATGTGAGGAGGATTTAAGTCACACAGTTTAGTTCGACTACGCTCTACAATATTCCCCATGACAAAACATTCATTTTTCAATACCAGGAAAGATTCAATGATAAACACCTCATCTAAATCAAGCAAACAAACACTGTTGTTTTGTCTGAAAGCCTTGGAATATTTGGTAGAATGGTAAACTTCTCCATTTAATTGACATCTATCATATATAAAAAAAATTAGCATGATCTCTGCACTTTAAACCTGCCCTTCGCACAGCACCAAGATACTCCACTGAGAGAACTTCTTCTGAAGGATTGCCTAAGAGTGATGCTGGCCCAATGTCCAAAGTTGGATCTGCAAGTCTGTGCACAATGGACTTCAATTTCTCTAAGTAGTTCTTCTGTTCAACAGTTAGATATTCTCCCACTTCCTCCTCTAACTTTCTGAGAGCAATTTTTCCTTTGAATAGCAGTAGAAATTTGGTAAGCAACACCATTGCTACTCTTAACAGATTTTTTTATTTCTGCCAGGAAGCTCTCAAAAACAAATGCAGAATGAGACCAGGGCTGGGCAAAGTTAGTTACACTTTCTTTGAGATGAGTGAGGGAGGAGATGCATACTGATGGTCACATGTTCTCTTCCATACAATATATCAACATCAGTAACAAAGGACTTTATATAGCGCCCAGCATATGTTATTTCACTCATTGCAATAGAATTTTGCATAAGCAGAGCAATGCCATGAACTAAAAGAGACCAATGATTTAAAAACCTAGCAGGGAGAGGATTCTTTAGAACTGGAAGACTGTACTCTATAATCCAGTGGAACCACTCGTGTCCTGTGAAGTCGGATCTATCTTTCATTGAGCGAGGAGCACGAGACACATTAGATGTTGGCGTTATCTGAAGAAGCCGCTTGTTTACTTCATTGAACTTTGAACATATATTAAACTGTTTTCCACGAAACTTCTTGAGAAACCACAAGTTGGCAAAGCGTTTTGAAACATTGACCAATGCATGAAAGAGATCTAGATCCAAGCAAGCCACCATATTGAAGTTTTGCAGTTGAGATAATATTGAAAGGCCTTTAATACCTTTGCATGGGATACCATTCTGCCGGTTTGAAGCAATTGTGGCACACCTCATTAGTTGGGTATGAGTGCGTCTAGGATAGTCTCTGTCTCGGGTTGAATAAGACCGAACGTGGCCTCTCAGATATTGCAGTCTAATCCCAGGGTGTAAGCAGAACCCACATCCAAACATTCCTAAAAATAAAAGAGAAGTTTAAAAAAAAAAAAGAAAATGTAATTAACATCTAGAGAAGTTATTGTCCATACATACCATTGAACTGAATAGAATTTCTGAGCATAGGTCTTGCTACTGTGTCACTTATCCCAATCAGCACTTTGACTTCCATATTGATAACATTGCCTTTGTTTTTAAAAGTGATTCCCTTCTCTTCCAACAGTAAGCATTCAGCAACAAATGGTTTCATATATTCATTACAATTTGGCTTTTTTGATGAAAACCAGAGGCTAGCCATCATGACACTTTTCCTCCTAATGCTTAAGGGTAGCTCATTGACACAGCATAAAATTGGCCAAGCCGCTCGCTTGCTTGTTGATGCCACCTGAAGAAAAGTAAGGCAATGTCTACAACATACTATCTTAAAGTAAATAAACTTTGAAAACAAAACAAATAAAATTAACTTTAATTGAAGTGGATATTTTGTTTATTTTACATACCTGAAGCCCATCAACAAAGAAGCTGATTGTCAAGCCACCATTTGACATTCTGGTATAAATAAATCCATCATAGATATCCTCAAGATTACATTCATGTATCTTCTGGCGTTTAGAGGGATCTACTATCTTATCAAAGTAAGATTTAACAAGAGCCTCTATCTGCTCCAAAAGGGAGAGATACAAAAAAAAGTTTTGATTTTTCTTGTTGGAATGTGTGTTAAATATTTTCAAGCAGTTGGCACATTCAAATCTTGTACTATTCACAATCCCAACATAGCTCTCACATGAAGGGCACATGTGATGCTCAGTTAATGAACACGAGTACTTTTTGATTACATTTTTCATTGTATGTCTGCTGATAGAACAGTTCTCATTACTTCCCAAAATATTTGCCAGTTCCATAACATCTTCAGCTGCCGAATAAGAAAGATTGTGCCGCTTAGAAATAGCAAGGAGCATGGTAATTCTTATTTTCTCTTCTATGGATAAGTTCACTCCACTGGTTTCAAAATATAACAATTCTTCATCAGAACTGTCATCCGGCATTGGCAAGGGCAATGGAGAGCTTGGAAGTTGAATGGTCTGGTTGTTCAAAGGCTGATCATTTAAAGGCTCACTCTGATCTTCTTGGTCAGACTCACTATCTCCACTATAGTGTAAAATAAATGATTCCTGTAAAGATTTTTAGGATTATAGTTTATACAAACATTCAAATAAAGTCAGATAGATATACACAATCCTCTAGAGGATCTGGTATCATACCTCACTGTGTAAATCATCATCGACCTGTCCTTCATCACCACTTAATTCTTCTACTATAGAGAAAGGACCATCAAACTCTTGCTAAAACAGAAAAAATATAATTTACACATACAGAGATTGACAACGAAACACACAAAATAAGTTAAGCGCATACCTTAACTCCAGAAACATGTAACTCGGTTGGTTGTTGTTCAGGTTCTGGTAGCTCCTCCTGTACATTTGTACAGTAACTTCTGTAAGTTTAAAACAATTAATTAAGTAAAACACAAAGGCACAACCATGTTGAATGAGTTAAATAAGCTTAATATTATTTTTCTAACAATCCAATAATCCGGTTTAAAAACAATAGAGTAATTGATACATCTCTTAAGTAAAACACTATCTTAAACAATTTCAATAAACATTTACTTACACTGCTGAGTCAATAGATGGCTCCGTGTCAACACTTTGAGTAAAACTAATCTGTGGCTCACATCGTTCATTGGTTGGCTGTTCTTGATTACTACATGCAACAGATAGAAATAACAAGAATGTACATATATATTAAGTACTTATAGCACTATGTGGATAGTGATAGAGTTGAAACTCATACACTATAGATAAAGTACAACTTTAATGTAATACTCACAGATCCGAGTCAAAATGTACAGCAGCCGTACAGGCCACAAAGTTCTCATGTTGTTCCACGACGGCTGTGGTGAAAGACACTGCTTTGCGTTGTCTACTGGAATTCCTGTGAAAAATGAATAACAAAGACAGATCAGATTTGGAGTCTTATGTTCAAAGTACAGTGCTGGTATTATGGTTGCACTACAATGCCACTTTAACCCAATCAGAATAACCTTCTAAATGAGACACACCTATTAAAAGTCTTCAGAGGAGTACGAGTTGTTTTTCCACTCTCTTGTGCTTCCCGTGATCTTTTTGTGCTTGGGGGCATAGGAGTACCTTTTAGAACCCATTTCTTGTAAGGTCCTCTAACTTTTTTTTTTCTAGGAGCAGAACTGGAGGGTGGGCTGTTTTCGTCACACGACCTCTTCATTATTTTTCACAAAAGACCCACAAACCATGAACAATGAACCTGAACAGCCCAAGTGAACTGAACGATGGCACTGAGATTACAAAATTTGATTATTTCATCATTTTTTCATCAACCCTATCCAGAAATCTAGCAGAACACAAAGCCATACAGCCAACAGCCTGCTCTCACCCTTTTGTGAGTCAGTCAGCCAACACTGTGGATGTTCAGATACCAAACTGATGTTGTCAACTCTGAATAAATTGTCAAGGGATAAAATAAGGAAGATAAACAGTGTCACTCACGTTGTAAAATTTGTAAGATTGGTCAGTTCAAAGATTCTGATGATTGTCCCTAACAATATATTTAGCAGGGG